ATCCAGCCCTTAGACAGGCCAAGGAAGCCTCAGAGTTGCCGGGGAGGGGTTTGCTCTCCAGGCCTTCCCTCTGTAGCCCACACATGCAGAGGTTTTGGCTGTACTGGGCGTGGCCAACTCTGAAGCCAGCCGGAACTCCGTTCCTGTGCGTTCCTGCCCAAAAATAGCCCTGGGTATCTATATTTAAGACTTTAATTAATTTAAATACTGAACGTGCAGGTTTTTAGAGGTTCTTGTATTTTAAATCTAATTCAGATTCCAGTACTGTAACTTGTCTAATTGGTATATTGTTTAAAATTGTAATGGCCAATGGCTATGCAATAAATTTTACTAAGAACATAAGAGATGCCAATGTTGGATCAGGCCAAAGGCCCATCCAGTCCTACACTCTTGTGTCACACAGTGGCCAGAAATACCAGTGCCATCAGGAGGTCCACCAGTGGGGCCAGGACATTAGAAGCCCTACTACTACCACTACTACTACTACCCGTACAGCTCTGTTGGTGTACCGATGCTGGAGCAAAGCCTTGCTCGCGTCACAATTGATATGCAGCTGTCCCCCCCAAAAAATCCCACCCACCACCCACCCCCGAGATGTTTTCCTTCGTATAAGAATGTGGTTTAGCAGCAGCCAAGGTATATGTGACTCCAGAGGTCTGTAATCAGAGCGTCTCCAATTATATTCTTCTCTCTTACGGAAAAACAGGTCTGTGGGCTCCTAATTTGTTCCAGGAAACAGGGTGGGTAGGGAAAAGTTAACTCTTTTCCCCCCCCTCTCTGTCATTTCCCTGACCTAAGTTCCCTGCTATATAACTGCGGATTAGCCCCAAAGGTGAGGAAAGACAAGGACTAATCGCCGGGTTCTCGGTCTCCGGCTAGTTTGGCCCCAAGCTACGAAGGTTGAACTTTTAAGGAAAGAGACATAAGCCGAATCTGCATTTGCATTTCTAAATCATTTTCGTGCTGCTGTGATGCCGTCTTTCTCTATGCTTGGTTGAATGTTGTTGGGAGAAGATTCTTTTAAAGCAGTGTGGAGGTTCAATGACGGTGGAGCTGCCCCAAAGGACGATAAACATATGCCGACGTGCAAAAGTATGCTAGCACTCTTGAGGTGTGAAAACGACACCAAATGTAAACAGCTTTTTTGAAGACGGGAGTCAAAAGGCTGGGACACTGGTGGGAAAGACAAATGCAGATTCCGCCATAGTAACCAAAGTCTCAAAATAAGTACTCCCCCCGCCACTGTTCCTTAGTATGCACATTTCAGGGACGTACCTCCACTGTTTGGGGTGACGGGGTACATTGGACTTAAGCAGAGATGCAGGACTTTAAATGCTACCTTGGGTGAGGGAATGAGCCAAGAGAGATTAAAGTTATGTTGCACAACAGGAGAGTCTGAAATTGTACACAATAAGAGGGTGGCACCCATGGGAGGAGATGTAATTCACCGCCAGCGAGGCCGGTGCAGTCTTAAACATCTTTCCCAGGCGAGCGAGTCGCTTCACTGTAGCTCGGCACGATGAGCCTCCTCTGGGTCATGGCCATATCTTTCGTGTTCATTCTGATCATGACTCTCACGGATGTGTGGTTCTTAATCAGGCAAGGACTGCATTACTGTGCCTTGCTCTGGCAGAAGCCCCCCCAAGACATCTTCGAACCCTTCGTTTTGCGAAACCTGGTGCTGACGACCGACCTGGACTACATGCTGCACATGAACAATGCCCGCTATTTGCGCGAGGCGAATTTCGCCACCTGTACCTTCTTGACCAGATACGGGCTGGCCGCAGCTCTTAAGACATTGGGGGGTTCCGCCGTCCTGTCCGCGTCCTGCAGCCGCCACCGCCGTCCGCTGCGTCTTTTGGAACGGTTCAATATCCGCACACGGATTTTGGGTTGGGATGATCACGCATTTTACCTGGAGCAGCTCTTTAGACACCCTAATGGTTTTGTTGTGGCCGTCGTGCTTTGCCGGCACCACATAACGGGCACTACTCCTGCGGCGCTGATAGCGTTCATTGCTCAGAACAAGGTAAGAGGCTGGGTGCTGTCTGGATCGTGAGAGGGAAGGGAGGGGGCAGGAAGGGTTGCCTCAGTGCTTAGGTCTCGTGGTCCTTTCTTACACGCCCAGGGAAATGCTGATCGCCACTTTGGGGCCAGGAAGCCATTTTTCTTCAGCCCAGTTTGGCTGGAGATCCTGGAGTTGTGTTTTGTTTTTGTCGTGGTCTGGGTGTGGAACAGGAGCCACTGGGGGTGTGGGGGGGGGAGGTATTTCTGAATTTCCTGCCTTGTGCAGGGGGTTGGACTAGATGACCCTGGAGGTCCCTTCTATGATTCTGTGGACTGTTGGTTAAAAAAAAGTGACAGAATGTTGTGATTTGCTTAATTTTCTTGGTGTTTCTTCCTAGGATCCCTTCTTAAATCTTGCTCTCTCACCCATTGTGTCATCAGCAGAATCCCATTTTATGACAACGGAAAATTTCCTTCTAATATCAGACTCAACTCTTCTCTCCTGTAAATACTCAATCTGAGTAAGCTGAGTGGGATGCGTTAGTTGACTGATTCCTGCACTGAGCGAGGGGGTTGGAGTAGGTGACCTCTAGGTCTCCTTTAAGAGAGTTTTTCTGCCTTCGCTTTCTTGACTATAGAAGTCATCACTCCCACCTGCCGGCTTGTTATCAGAATTGTTGCTTAGGCTGGCAGAAGTGATTAACTTGCAGCGGCTGAGAACTGTCATCTCAAGTGGTTGACAGCTTGCAATTTAGTGATCTATCCTGGTTACAGCTTTCTATTGGCTAAATGGCCCTTTTCTTTCTGTACTGAGAACTTCATTAAGCTCATGTATGAAAATTAGGGTTCCTCGTTTCTCTTCTGAGAGATTGCTCTGTCACATGTTCTGCTTCGCCTGTCTTCCAATTTATTTTGGAGATTTTCCAAAATAGGTTTGGGGGTAGAAAATAAATGCAGATAGCTGCATTTTCCGTTTGCCCCCCGTTTGTTCTTTCAGGTTGCTGGTGTGCACAGACACGCGGCAACAATGATTTAAAAGTGCAAAAAGGAATCCTGGTGTGATCACACACCATCACAGCAACCTCCCTTTTAGCTCTGTGTGGTTTAATCAAAAGAGCACATTCCCTAAAGCATATTTGTAACCCACAAGAAAAAGAGGTGAAAACTGAAAACACAGAGGCCAACAGCTCATGCATTGTTGTTTACACAAAGGCCAAAATCAAAAGTGGTGGGAAGGTACATCATTAGCACATGCAGTGCCAGTTTCCTGGCAAGTTTATGTAACTGAGAATCCCAAGATCTAGGGATAAATGTGGGCGTATCAAATTGCTTAAGCGTCCTAAGTGAAAACACATGAGGAGGAGGAGGAGGCAGAGGAGATTGGATTCATACCCCGCCCCTCACTCAGAATCTCAGAGCGGCTGACAAACACCTTTCCCTTCCCCTCCCCACAACAGACACCCTGTGAGGCAGGTGGGGCGGAGAGAGCTCTGAGAGAAACGGCTCTTTTTCAAGGACAGCTGTGACAGAACTATGGCTTTTGCCCAAGGGCATCGAGCAGCTGCAGGGGGAGGAGTGGGGAATCAAACCCGGTTCTCTCAGATTAGAGTCCGCTCACATAACCACTGCACCACACCACTACACCAAACTGATGTTGTCCTTCGTAATAATACAGCAATGGTTCGAGATCTGTGGAGAAATGCTACCATAGCAGAATTCTCTTCATATCTCTCTTTCCTTCAGCCCAACACATTAGGAGTCCGGCGGCACCTTTAAGACCAACAAAGGTGTATTCACGGTATGAGCTTCCATGTGCATGCGCACTTTTTCAAATAAACCTTTGTTGGTCCTAAAGGTGCCAGTGGACTCTCAATGTGTTCTGCTGCTTCAGACCAACACGGCTGACCGACTGGATCTTCCTTCAGTCCAGATCCTTTGAAGTGTGCCTTTTGTCCCCCAGTGCTATGGTCGGTGTGGTCCGTACCTATGGTCCTGACAGGCCATCTGATTCAGAGCGCCACTCGTGTTCCGGTACATGCACAAGACGCCACCGAACCAGGGGCCGCATTGGCACGAGCCTCGTGTGCAAATGAGAATTGCTGCGCTGAGACGGATCACACTTTATGTCTACCTTTGGCTACCTCCATCCAGGGCATCCCAGCAGTTTGGTTTTCTGGGATTTGTTGTTGTCGTCGAGTTTGGTTTTCTGGGATTTGTTGTTGTCGTCATTAGGTTGGCTCTGTTTTCGGTCTCTTCGTCCGGTGATGTTCAATGGCTTGTCAGCCACACGTGGCTCTTTGACGTGCCAGCTGTGGATCCTCCAGGGGTCATTCCGTAGAAAAAGAGGTGCAAGAACTCATTAGAATAACTCATTAGCATAACTTATTTGCATATGCCACACCCTCTGACATCACCGGAAGTGTGTCAGAAGGCAACACCCACCGCTCAGGCTCCATTGGACTGTTTTGGAGGGCTAGCTATGGAGGGTGGGGGGGAACGTGCTGATCTGTCCTCACAGAGGAGGGAGAGCTTGTACCGGAATAAAACCTGGTCTTAAAGGTGCTACTGGACTGTTTTGGACCGGGGGCCAGGGGAAGCTCTGCAACTTACCTGGCTGCTTCTTGCTCTGACTGAGGGCTGCTGGGAGCAGGGGGTGGGGCTTGTTGCATGTGCCCACCCCCTGGGCTCTTTACTGCCGGAGCTCCTCTCCTGTGCGCTCCTGCAGGAAATGACCCCTGGGCTCCTCCAATGGGACACCTACCCCATGTTTCAGGAAAGTGCCCTGAATGGTAGGCAGGTATTTTTGCGTTTTGTGTTTTTCAGGACACATTTTTTTCTTCTCACATTAACACAGAGGGTACTCCATCTTTCTGTGTTATTCCTCTGAGGATGCCAGTCACGGCTGCTGGCGAAACGTCAGGTCCTACAATGCCACGACCACGGCCCTACAGCCCGGAAAATCTACAACAACTAACGAACTCTGGCCCTGAAAGTCTTCGACAACATATTGAATGAATGAGCCTTTTCATTTTTAGGATTGGGGGGGGAGGCTTATTAGAATCATAGAGTTGTAAGGTACCTCCAGGGTCATCTAGTCCAGCCCCCTGCACAATGCAGGAACTTCACAAATACCTCCCCACACACACACACCCAGTGACCCCTGCTCTATGTCCAGAAATGGGGGGGGAGATACACCCTCCAGGATCTCCGGCCAAACTGGCCTGGAGAACAATTGCTTCCTGTCCCCAGAGTGGCGATAGTCATTTCCCCGGGCGTGTAAGAAAGGGCCACGAGAACTAAGCCCTGAGGCAACCCTTCCTGCCCTGCCTCTCAGGATCTGCCTAAGTTCACAGACTCCGCATTGCTGCCAGATGGCCTCCAAAGAAGGAGAGCCCACCACCTCCCAAGGAAGCGCGTTCCACCGAGGAAGCCCTCTGTCAGGAAGTAAAGGAAGTATTGGCTTCTAAAGACCTATGTGGCTTGGGGGACCAGCATATTTTAAGGTCTGCCAATTCCCATACAAATCTGTCCATCCGTTGCGGTCATCTTTGAGGGCCTGCTTCAGGTGTCCCCATCATCGGTGCCACTAAAACCGTGGAATTCCCTCCACAGGGGGAGAATCGCACGTGTCCCCTCTCACGTTATCGTCTGCCTGCGGGTGATGACCTTCGGCTTAGCATTCTCTTACTCACCCCCTGGGGCTGCGGTGGCTCAGTGGTTAAGACGCTGAAGCTGCAGACCGGAAGGTCGATAGTTCAGCAGTTGGAGACCCGAGTGCCACATGGCGGAGGGAGCTCCCGTCCCTGGTCCCAGCTCCTGCCAACCTAGCAGTTCGAAAGGAAGGAATGGCAAGTAGGTAAATAGGTACCGTTTCGGTGGGAAGGGAACAGCGTTCCGTGCGCCTCGGCGTCTAGCAATGTTCCCGCTAAGCTGTGGAGTCTTGTGAGCAAAAATTCTGCTTTGTGAGCTACTGGCATTAAAGTTGTGAGCGAGCGATTCGACTACTGCATAAACTAGTTGGCTCTGGAGCCATCCTTCCTGCGCGAAGACAAAAACGTATGAGCTGGGGGCTAAAAAAACTGTGAGCTAGCTCACATTAACTCAGCTTAGAGGGAACACTGGCGTCTAGTCATGCCGGCCACGTGACCGCATAAAATGTCTTCGGACAGCGCCGGCTCTTCGGCTTGGAGACGGAGATGAGCACCGCAGCCCTAGAGTCCGATTCGACTGGCTCCCGAGCAAGGGAAACCTTGCTCACCCCCTCGTCCTGTTTATATTTTTTGTGTGTGTGTTCATATGTATTGTTTTTAAAGCTGGTTTCTGATTTTTTCTAACCTGTGTGCCACCCTAGCGAGGTGGAAAGGCAGGATAGAAACACAATAACTTGAGTTTTGGTTGTGTTGCAGGTGGAGTCACCGGAGCTTCCGGAAGAGGTCAAGCACTGGCTGAAATACAATGAAGCCAACAGCCAGAGATTGAGAGCGGAGAGCAACAACCAGAAGAACGAGAAAGAGCAGTAGCTCTTCCTCACTTGTCCCCCCACCACCACCCGTGCTTCACCCACGGTGGACTCAAACCTGCTCTTCAGCGAAACCATTCGGGATCATGGAGCCTCTTCTCTTCCACGGCCGCGAAGAAGAAAGCCTCGATGCGCCCCACATGACACCCTCGACGGCAGCGACACGAAAGCCACAGGAAAGCATCAATCGCAAGGTTCTGAGGAACTGGGCTCATGTAGCTAGGTATCAATTTGGCCGATTCGGGAAGCGCTGCGGTGACACACACACACACCCAAGCAGCAAACTGCCGATGGCCTAGTCTTAGTTGTTTTGTGAAGGAGACATCTGCGTATGCCCTGGATTTCAAGCTGCCGTCGGAGTGCCGTCGGACCATCCGAGGGAAAACCATAGAGTTTTAGCAGGGCCATAGCCGGCGGCGGGGCGCACGGGGCTCCACCCCTTTCACGTTTGCAGTGCCCCCGCCCCGTTCCCCCCCACACACACACACTGTGGCCAGAGGACACGGCACCGGCCGTGTGTGGCTCAAAGGGAGCCTCCTCCGTCCCCAACATCTTGACCGCGGCTGCTCTGCTGGGCCCATTTGGGCCTGTCCCGCCTTCCAGAACACCACTCTCTCACCCGCCGTGGGCCGCGCTCCAGGCCCCGTGTCTCAGCACCCGTCCAAGAGGAGCTGCTGCCTCTTGCCAGTTTGGTGAGCCAGTTTGGTGTCGTGCTTAAGTGTGCAGACTCTAATCTGGGAGAACCGGGTTTGATCCCCCACTCCTCCACTTGCACCTGGCTGGATGATCTTGGGCAAGCCGTAGTTCTCTCAGAGCTGTTCTTGAAAAAGAGCAGTCTCTGTCAAGAGCGCTATGATAACATCACTCCTCCATTTTTCATTCAACTTATAATGGTAACGTTCCCACTTTTTTCTTCATTTGTATGTTTTAAAATTCAAATCACTTGTCTTGCAATTTTACTTAAAACTGTCACCTTGGAATAATCAAAGCTAGGATATTAACAGCATCATCTCTTCTGCTGTATAACTTGCAATTTGCGTTAGGAATTTAACCTAATTGTTGGCCAATAATTTGTCAAAGAGCAGAAATATCCAAAATAAATGGAGTATAATACTGAATCTAATTGTTGCACTTATTTTTAGTACTATGAGTTGTGCCATTATTTAGCTTAATCCTAAGGATGATAATGCTATTTTTAGTGCGCTTAAGTCTAAAGACTAAAAGCCCACTAGCTTTCTTGATTGACTCCCAGTAGTTTTGAACATGAAGTAAATCGAGTGTAGTTTTAAGTATACAGTTTCTGCGACTCAGCTCAGACACTTCGCAGTAATATTTAAATAACGTTTTCTAGACTGCTTTGTAGCCCTTTTCTAGTTGTTTATTTTCTCTTACTACCATATAAACATGTAAACACTTAATCTTGCCACAAATAAGCAATAAATACAGCCATGTAAGATGTAAGACTATGATAAGGCAGTCAAACATATTATTCTGATTTAAGAACCCCCCCTCCTGCCGTGGAGCGACCGTTCAAACAAGACTGCAAAAGAGAAGACCTGAAGCACGACACACGTGTCTGTGTAGATTCTTCCACTAACAGTCCTCTCCCTCCCCTCACCCCCTGCTCCGTTAACGTAATTACATTTGTTTCGTATTTAATTTAATTAGCACCCCCTCCCCCGAAAAAATCCTGGCTATGGAGCTGGGAGTAAGCAACTCAACATGCCTGGACACTAGGGGGCGCTACATAACCGTAAGGGTGTATGGGTGTTATCTCCTTGAATGGGATGCCTCTCTTTGTCTTCTTTTAAAATATATTATCAATTCAAATACACAACTTATTATTAATAGTTATACATCCTTTTCTCCGATATCCCACCCCCTCTGGCTTCCCACAGTGCTCCAACCTCCAGCCCAATTCTTACATTTTCTCTGTTTTCCCCTTGTTCTTTAATCATATACTACCGGTAGCACTTCTTCTACAATTGTTTTCTTATAATTAACCTTCTTCTATTAACATTAACATTTCAATAATTGTCAAAGCAAATTAAATTGTCCTTTACATCCCAATATTTCTTAAAGTCTTTCCAGTCTCCATAGAATTCTTCTGCTTCACGATTCTGATGCTTCCTTGTCATTTTGTCCATTTCAACCATAAATAACCATTTCTTTATCCAATCCCCAATTTCTGGGGTTCTGTCTTGTTTCCAGCATTGAGCATAAGTCATTCTGGCGGTTGTGATCATATACCACATCAGAGTCCTTTTCGCCATGTTGACTTCTTCCATTTTAAGTCCCAACAGTAATATTTCCGGTTCTTTCTTAAAGTTACATTTCACTCTTTTTTCCCATTTCTTTATGTACCTCAGCCCAATAACTTTTTGCTTTTTCACATGTCCACGATGCCTCTCTTTGTCTTAACCTGGGAGCTGCCCTCTCACCCCACTCCTCTCTCTCCCTTTGTCCTCTCACTCTCTGTGCATGGCCTTCCACGGACACACTCATCTCAATAGGTCTGTCCTGTAGCGACAAGGCCCTCATAACTCCCACACACATGATGCTGGACAAGATGGCCACGAGATCAGGGCATCCCAAGGGACCTTTTGCAGTTCCGCAGGGCCTGCAAGACGGAGCTCTTCTGCCAGGCTTTTAATTAGGGCGACGGACGCCCCTCCCCCTTTACTGGGCCTCCTCTCAATGGGTCAGAACTGCATATTAGATTTGGCATCTGTGAGGTTTTGATGTCGATGACAACGGCACTGGATGAAGGCCGTTGTAGTATTTTATTAGTGTTTTCATTGTATTAATTGTATATATTGTATTTTATTAAATTTGATGTGACCCGCCCTGAGCCTGCCATGTGGTGGAGGGCGGGATATAAGTCAAATGAAATAATTAAATAAATTTGTGATAGGGAAGGTACTTTTTAGACCAGTCTTCCCTCTTTCCTTTCAACTGCAACCTGAATGTGAACTGAATCTACTTGAATATACCCCTTGGGAGATTTATTTATTGCACTCAGTATCGCGCTTCTACGACTGGGCAAAGCTCTGCTATATTAGCCACATATCCCAATAGTTACCAGGGGACATGGGGAAGAAAACTGTGTAAACTGTTTAATTATACTTTGTTGGGAAAGTTGGATCGGCAGCCTACAGGCACAAACCTGTAATGTTGAGCTACCGGGACTCGTCTGTTAATATTTTCACTTTAGACAGAGGTTCTATTATGGTAGCTTTGCTTCTTAGTTATACAGGTGCTCACACATACCTGCAGGCCAGAAGGTACTGTGTGTGCCCTTTACCACGCATACCTCCAACTCTGCCCATGGCCTTCCTAGGGCTGGAATTGGAGAAACTTTTTTTTTTAATCCCAGATTAAAACCTAGCTAGATGGGATTTTGGTTTAGCACATCCAGTCCATACAACGTTGCATGATTTGTGCCCTAGACTGAGAGGAAGGCAGAGCAAACCTAGCCTTGGCCAGTCAGATGACTGAATGTACACCAAAACCTTGGCGTTCTCCAGTGGTATGTGGTGCTTTCATGTCGAGCTACATGGTACCATGAGGATCAGCCCAAGGCATTTAGTGATCAAAGCAGATGGAATGCGCAGTCCAAAAGGGTAGCCTGTACTGGACTGTTCTTGGAACATGCATGATTGTTCTTGAGAGCTGGGATAGAGCAGGTAGAGAAAGAGGTACTTTTCTCCCTTTCTCACAATACAAGAACTCGTGGGCACTCCATGAAATTGCTGAGCCGTCGGGTTAGAACGGATAAAAGGAAGTACTTCTTCACCCAAAGAGTGATGAACACATGGGATTCACTGCCACAGGAAGTGGTGGCGGCTACAAACATGGACGGCTTCAAAAGGGAATTAGATAAATATATGGAGCAGAGGTCCATCAGTGGCTATTAGCCACAAGGTATAGATAGGGGCTCTGGGGCAAGTGAGGCTCTGTCTTCTTGGTGCTTGGGGGGGTCAACAGTGGGAGGGCTCCTAGTGTCCTGGCCCCACTGGTGGACCTCCTGATGGCACTGGTATTTCTGGCCACTGTGTGACAGAGTGTTGGACTGGATGGGCCTTTGGCCTGATCCAACATTGGCGTCTCTTATGTTCTTATGTACCCCGTCCTTGACTAGCACGTTGGAAAGGCTGCGACTCTGAGACTGCAGACGATGTCACAAGAGAGCCAGTTTGGTGTAGTGGTTAAGTGCGCGGACTCTAATCTGGGAGAATCGGGTTTGATTCCCCA